GATTTATGAATTCATCTTTGAATATACATAGAAAGAAAATGAAATACCCTTACAGCTGTTTGCATAAACCATTATTGGTACTTATCTATTTATCAGAAAAATGTTTTGTGAAAATTATAGTGATCTAATGGTTGAATTCATGAATCAATTAAAGCTAGACTAGCATAGAAAACTTGGAAGCATTAGATGGCCATTTCGTTTCAGTGCGGGACTTCTCATCAGTGCGCATCCACGATCCCGCACCAAACGAACTCAAACCCAGCACCTTCAGTCTCTCGCGGGAACGTTTAACTTGTAGACCACTAAGCCAGTATCCAACGGTGTTAATGTCTAATTTAAATCAATTCACAAAATTGCTCCACCATCAGCGAGACCGATAGGTCCTGGTTTCGAATCAAGAAGTAATGGACAAATATTTTACCAACTCTGTGTTCAATAGCTTGAATAATTACCAAAAACTGAAAATTTCAGATTTGATCCATTGTGACATCACAGATTCTTATCCTCGACGAAGTCTCACATTACAATGAGCCAGTTGTTCAGTACTCTCTTACATTTAATGATCATTAATAATATTGAATTAAAATAAATAAAAATGTTGTTCGAAGTTGTTTTCTGGTAAAACTTTCGTGAATAGTTGCTAAGCAGTTTATATTTGCACTAAATATACTGATTACTGTATAATCTTAGCAAATAAAACACAATAAATCATTCCGTCTCTGACATGCAGCAATTTGGAAGACTTTTCAGGTCTCTCACATTGTACGAGCATTACATGTACCTAAATTATTGATTGCTCTGGTTGTCAGAAGGGTTATCGGCCTCGTGACTTCCGAAGAAACTCGGCTTTCACCATGAGGCGTCATAACTCGTCTAAATGAAGATCTTCTTACTCTCAAGGCAGAGTTTAAACGATTTGAATAATTTTTTGGTTAGCGTATTTTTAGCGAGTTAGTTTTCTACAGGATGGGGTCGCTAACCCCATGCCCAACCCTCCTACTTTATCCAGGCTTGGGACTGGCAGTAGCCCCAGAGGGTCTCTAGGTGGAGACACCTTATACTGTTAAAGAAATTTTTTTATCATAAATCACCTAAGATTGCTATACAGATGGGATTTGTAAATATTTACTATCAAGTTCTAATTACTTACTTACTTACTTACGCCTGTTACTCCTCGTGAAGGAGCATAGGCCGCTCACCAGCATTCTCCATCCAACCCTGTCCTGGGCAGTCCTTTCAAGCTCTTTCCAGTTCTTATTCATCCTTTTCATATCTGCTTCTATTTCCCGACGTAATGTGTTCTTTGGCCTTCCTCTTTTCCGCTTTCCTTCAGGATTCCAAGTTAGCGCTTGTCTCGTAATGCAGTTTGATGATTTCCTCAATGTATGTCCTATCCATTTCCATCGTCTTTTCCTAATTTCCTCTTCAGCTGGAAGCTGGTTGGTTCTCTCCCACAAAAGGCTGTTGCTGATGGTATCCGGCCAATGAATGTTGAGTATCATGCGTAGACAGCTATTGATAAATACTTTTATCTTCTTGATGGTGGTTGTTGTAGTTCTCCACGTTTCAGCTCCGTACAGTAGAACTGCCTTGACGTTCGTATTGAAGATTCTGACTTTGATATTGGTTGAAAGTTGTTTTGAGTTCCATATGTTCTTCAGTTGAAGGAATGCGGCTCTAGCTTTGCCAATCCTCGCCTTGACGTCTGCATCTGAACCTCCTTGTTTATCGACGATGCTTCCCAGGTATGTGAAGGATTCCACGTCTTCCAGAGTTTCGCCATCAAGAGTGATTGGATTGCTGTTCTCCGTGTTGTATTTGAGGACCTTGGTTTTCCCTTTGTGTATGTTGAGGCCTACTGATGCAGAGACTGCTGCTATGCTGGCTGTCTTTATCTGCATTTGTTCGTGTGTATGTGATAGGAGGGCTAGGTCATTTGCGAAGTCCAAGTCGTCTAATTGGTTCTGAGCTGTCCATCGTATGCCGTAGTTTCCCTCAGATGTCGAGGTCTTCATAATCCAGTCGACCACCAGAAGAAACAGGAAGGGAGAGAGTAGACAGCCTTGTCTTACTCCGGTCCTTACTTGGAATGCGTCTGTCAGCTGTCCTCCATGCACTACTTTGCACTGTAGTCCATCGTATGAGTTCCGGATAATGTTGACAATCTTCTCAGGAACTCCTTAGTTTCGAAGAAGTTTCCATAACGTCCTCCTATCTACACTGTCAAATGCCTTCTCATAATCAATGAAGTTGATGTAGAGTGACGAGTTCCACTCAATTGATTGTTCGACGATGATCCGTAGTGTCGCAATCTGGTCTGTGCACGACCGGTCCTTACGGAATCCAGCTTGTTGATCTCGAAGTTGAGCGTCAACTGCGTCTTTCATCCTGTTCAGTAACACTCTGTTGAAGACTTTACCCGGTATTGACAGTAGTGTAATGCCTCTGTAGTTTTCACACTTGCTCAGATCTCCTTTCTTTGGAATCTTGATGAGGTGTCCTTCTTTCCAATCCATCGGCACTTGTTCCTCCTCCCAAATCTTCTTGAATAGAAGATGAAGCATGCTTGTAGTTACTTCGATGTCTGACTTCGACGCTTCAGCTGGTATATTGTCAGGTCCTGCTGCTTTCCCACTCTTGATTTGTCTGACGGCCATTCTGATTTCTTCTGTCGTTGGTGGATTGACATTTATAGGAAGATCTGTGTGTGCTGCTTCGATGTCCGGTGGATTCATTGGAGCCGGTCTGTTCAGGAGTTCCTCGAAGTACTCTGCCCATCTGTTGCGCTGTTGTTGAATCTCAGTGATTGGTCTTCCTTCTTTGTCTTTGACTGGTCTCTCTGGTTTACTGTATTTCCCTGCAAGCTTCTTCGTCGTATCGTAAAGCTGTCTCATATTTCCTTCTCTTGCAGCTTTTTCCGCCGTCGTTGCTAGTTCTTCCACGTATTTTTGCTTATCAGCTCTAATGCTCTTCTTCACTTTCTTGTTTGCTTCTATGTACTCTGCTTGTGCTTGGACTTTCTCTGCTCTTGTTCGACTGTTGTTAATTGCTGTCTTCTTGTTCTTTCTTTCTTTGAACCTGTCCAGTGTTTCTGTAGAGATCCATTCCTTGTGATGATGCTTCTTGGGGCCCAGAACCTCTTCACACGTTGAAGTTAATGTTTCATTGATACCTTTCCAGCTATCCTCCATAGTAGTTTCTTCTTCCTTCAGTAGATCCTGTAAGGTTTGGAACCTGTTGTTGAGAGCTACCTTGAATTCATTGAGTTTGTCAGTATCTCGAAGGAAGGCTGTATTGAACCTTTGTGGTGCTGTTTCTCCAGTTGTCCAGTTCTTCTTTAGCTTCAGTTTCAATTTGGCAACAACCAGGTGGTGATCTGAAGCTATATCCGTTCCTCTCCTGGTTTTTACATCTTCCATTGTCCTTCGGAACTTTTTATTGATGCAAATATGATCTATCTGGTTCTCTGTGGTGTGGTCCGGTGAGATCCACGTAGCTTTGTGTATACGTTTGTGTGGAAATGTTGTACCGCCTATGACCAATTTATTGAATGCACACAGATTTGCGAATCTTTCCCCGTTTTCGTTTCTCTCTCCCAGTCCATGTAGTCCCATGATGTCTTCATATCCGGTGTTGTCCATTCCGACTTTGGCGTTTAGATCTCCCATCAGAATGGTGAGGTCCTTTCTTGGGCACTTCTCTATGATTGATTGCAGCCTCTCATAGAATTGATCTTTAACGTCGTCGTTGCTATCATTGGTGGGTGCATAACATTGGATAATGTTCATTGTGATCCCCTCCTTCTTTGTTTTGAATGATGCTTTGATGATTCTGGATCCGTGAGATTCCCATCCTACAAGTGCATTTTGTGCTACTTTGGATAGCATTAGAGCAACTCCCTGAGTGTGTGGAGCATTTTCCTCTTCGTGACCGGAGTATAGCAGCAGCTCTCCCGTATTTAGCCTTTGTTGTCCAGCTTGGGTCCAATGGGTTTCACTGATTCCCAGTACTGCCAAGTTGTATCTCCTCATTTCCGTTGCTATTTGACTGGTCTTCCCGTTCTCCCACATTGTCCGGACGTTCCATGTACCTATAAAAATTGTTGCTCTGGTTGTTAGAAGGGGCATCGGCCTCGTGGCTTCCGAAGGAACTCGGCTTTCACCATGAAGCGTCATATTACCTCTAACTCCCAGGGCAGAGTTTAAATGGTTTGAGTTATTTTTTCTGGTTAGCGTTTTTTTAGCGAGTTAGGTTTCTACGGGATGGGGACGCTAACCCCATGCCCAACCCTCCTCCTTTACCCGGGCTTGGGACCGGCAGTAACTCTGGAAGAGCTACAGGCGGAGTTATCAAGTTCTAATTAATAGAGTTTAATCATCTTAGTAGTAACCAACACATTGTATTAAGAATTAAATTAGGTGAGACTATAATGTATGAACAAATCAATCAAATTTACAATAACAGGTTTTAAATTGTGGCTGATATCAGTTCGTGATGAGAACGTTAAATTTAATTTCTAACCCTAACTATCAACTGTACATCATAATCCTGATTCATTACATTGGTTTATAAGCCTAATTTGGTCGTAGTATATACGTGAACATTCTCAAGATCTTTTTGACGTCATCCATAAATGAGAGTCTCACTTGAAAGAAATTTTTATATTTACTGAATGTTTTAAATTCAATTTAAAGTGAGATTATAATTGTACTGTTTCATTTCAATGAAGTAATAAGAAATAACGATTCAACAATTTATAGACTACAAATATTTTCTATACAATTTTAACCTTTCTCTTTTTTTTTTTATGCTTTGATGTAATTTCTTCTTTCTGTTATCATTTCCCTACCTCCTCCCTACCTATCTACCCCTCCCCCCTCTCTCTCCATATATATATACCTCCTCCCTCCCTGCCTACCTACCTACCTCCCTCTCCCTATATATATATATATATATATATATATATATATATATATATATATTTCTTTTTTCTTTTGTAGTCATGGATGAGTGAAATCAGTGCAAATATACAATCAAAATAATAATGATATACTTATTATATTAGTTGGAAATAAATTAGATGAAGAAAGAAATCGTATGGTCTCTAAAAAAGAAGGTGAACGTTTAGCTAAAGTAAGTGAATATTATTTTGTTGATTTATATATGTGTATTCTTTAATCAGATTCAATTATTTACAAAATGTAACTATAACATTTTATAGTTAATAGCTTCTGTATCCAATTTAAATTGAAACCATTATGGATTAATCAATTTTATCTTGGTTATGTTGAGTCTAAGTAAGATCAGCATATCTACAACTGAAGAATATCTGGAACTCAAAACAACTGTCAATCAACCAACATCAAGGTCAGGATTTTCAATAGAAATGTGAAGACAGTTCTATTGTATGAGGCCGAAACCTGGAGAACTACAAAAGCAATCATCCAGAAGATACAGGTGTTTATTAACATTTGTCTATGCAAAATACTTCAAATCAGTTGGTCAGACACTATTAGCAACAACCTACTGTGGGAGAGAACAAACCAGATCGCAGAGGAGGAAGAAATTAGGAAAAGGTTCTGAAAGTGGATAGGGCACACATTGAGGAAAGCACCAAGCTGTGTCACAAGACCAGCCCTCACATGGAATCCTGAAGACCAAAGGAGGAGAGGTAGACCAAAGAACACATTACGCCGGGAAACGGAGATAGGCATGAGAAAAATGAACAAGAATTAGATGAAACTAGAAAAGAAGGCCCAGGACAGATTGGGTTAGAGAATGCTGGTCGTCAGCCTATGCTCCATTAGGAGTAAAAGGCGTAAGTAAGTATGTTGAGTCTACCGATCGATGTTTAAGTCTGAGAATTCATCAGTCTCATATTGATATATGTATAACCCTGTGAGAATTGCTTCGACATTGCGTGAAGTCACGAGGATTATAAGTTGAGATGGACGCACAGGATGTACATATGTCAATAAGAAATTGATCATAAACATCAATTTAATTACTTTATTTACGCTTGTTATCTACCCTTAATGGAGCATAGGCCGGCGACAAGCATTCTCCAACCCACTCTGTTCTGGGTCATCCTTTCCAGTCCTATCCAATTTTTGTTCATTCTTCTCATGTCTATCTCCATTTCCCGGCGTAATGTGTTCTTTGGTCTTCCTCTTTTCCCTTGGTCTTGAGGATTCTATGTAAGGGCTTGCACCCTCCTTTATCCGGGCCTGGGACCGACAGTAGCCCCAGAGGGGCTCCAGGCTGAGTCATAACTCAAAGCCAAGTATACATATTTATACATTCATTTAGTTGAACTCAGTATTTCTCTTTTGTTGTTGATTAATTCATCACTACCAGTTTATAAAATAAATAAGAAAGGTTTCACGTGTTGATTGTTTTTTTCTCTCTCTTTCTCTCCCACTACACTGTTTTTTCTTTCATAAATCAATCAATCATTCCATTGTCTACTGGGGATAATAATTATGCTATAGGTGGATATTACAGTGAATTGGTTTGTTTGTTTTTCCTTAAGCCATTTAGAAATTTATCACTGACAATAATAAATTATAATCAGAAAGGGGTTTCGTGAATATTATAATAATTTTATAATTGAATTCACGAGTCAATTAAAGCTAGACCATCATAGAAAAGCTGGATCGATTGAAGTTAGATATTAATATTATTGGATTTCGGTCGGCTCAATGGTCTAAAGGTTAATCGTTCACTTGCGATATTGATAGATCTTTCGTTCGAATCTTGCAAGGTAGGATCATGGATTCACACTTCTAAGGAGTCATTTGCTATGACGAAACGGCCTTCCAGTGCTTCCAGATTTTCCATAGTGATCTAACTTCAATCGATTCATGAATTCAACTAATGAAATTACTAAAATCTTCACAAAACACCTTTTTGCTAGTAGTCATTGTATACTCATTAAAGACTGGTTTCAAGAGGTATTTCCTGGAGTTCTAGTAAGATGCAATGACCTATGAAGTTCAACCGAGTCTGTTGTGAGATAGTAACTCACTGAAGACAATGGTGGATGTATTGTTCAATTTTATGAATTAGTTGAATTTAGACATTAACACCATTGAATTCCGGTTGGCTCAATCGTCTAATGGTTAAGCGTTCACGTACGATACTGATAGATCTTTCGTTCGAATCTCGCAAGATAGGATCATGAATGCTCAATGCTGAAGAGTCCTATACTATGACAAAACGGCCTTCTAGTGCTTCCAGATTTTCCATGATGATCTAGCTTCAATTGATTCATGAATTCAACAATTAAAATAATAAATTAAATGTTATAACAAATTAACTAAATGAAATTATAAATAAATAATTGTTTATTGATTTATTTATTGTATTAAGTAGTATGTTAATAATCAATTATAATAACGTTGACAACAAAGTCTATAATAACAATAATGTATCCTAAAGAATTGATCAATTATTATCGTTTTAAATTTATTTCTCTTTATTGATTATTAGAAAAATTATTGATCAATCAATTAAACAGAGAGAAATCGGTTCTATATTTTTCTTTTTTTTTGGTTATTCAATACGACAAAAATGTGACACTAAATGATCTCATTATTTGTTAATGTTTTAATTCAGTTTAATGTTCTAGTGATTTGATTAAACAATTTTGAAAATTTCAGTTTTTATTCATCGTTTTATTTATGTCTACTTCTTCATTCTCTGTAAAGTGTGTTCTTTGACCTTACACTTATTTTTGTTTCTTTTTTTAGGATTTCTAGTTAACACTTATCTCATTATGATACAGTTTGATGATTTCCTTTATGTATATTCTATTTAATTTCAGAGTCTTTTCTTGATTTCTTGTTCAGCTGGAAGTTGATTTGTTTGTCTCTTATAGTAGGCTATTGCTGATGATATCCGGAAATTACACTAGATTACTTAATACAAGGAATGATGGATAGTGGCTAGAAGTGGAATCAAAGACGCACGTCTCGTCCTATTTGGGATTCGTCAACTGAATATACCTGCATCTTAGAGTTGATGTTCACTCTGGGATTCGAACCCAATACCATTCGCTTCAAACGCTATCACGTTATCCACTCAGCTACTGAGTCCTGATAGCCACTTGCTTGTGTTTGTGCTAGCCACTATCCATCATTGCTTACAAAAAGCTTGTGAATTAAGGCAAGATCGAGGCATACGCACAGTATGCACATATGCCAATGACAAACTGATCGATTGAAGATACAAACCAAACAATACTAAGCGAATTTAAATTTACCCCATTGCACAAGAAAGTGGCTATCAGGACTCAGTAGCTGAGTGGATAACGCGATGGCGTTTGAAGCGATTGGTACTGGGTTTGAGTCCCAGAGTGAACATCAACTCTGAGTTACAGGTATATACAGCTGACGAGTCGCAAATAGAAGGAAACGTGCGTCAAACTGGATTCCATTGCTAGCCACTATCCATCATTGCTTACACTACAAAAAGCTTGTGAATTAAGGCAATATCGAGGCATACGCACAGTGTGCACATATGCCAATAAAAGACTGATCAATTGCAGTCTTAAACGTCAATGGAAAGATTACTTACTATGTTAAATAAACTGGTGAAAGCTTTATTACAAATAAACTGTCTTCTTTCTAATCTATTATTGTATACTTCCCATCAAATATAGTTATGAAGCCTTATAATTAAATCATATAAGCATTGATATAATGTAAACATTTACCTCTCCCTATTACATAAGCAGGTTATGACATAGTTATTCATATTCTTAATCTATTTCTAACTTTATTTATTTATTTAATCAAATCTGTTTCTTTATTAAATTGCTTTTTCAGCAAACTGATGCATTATTCTGGGAGACAAGTGCTAAAACTGGAGCGAATGTCGATTCAATGTTTCATTGTATAGCTGAGTAAGATTTTGCATTATTTTAATTACATGATTTAAAGTTTTTGGTTTTCTGTAAAGTTTTCAGTGTTGAATAAATATGATCTATCTAGTAATGTCTGCCAATTTTCTAATTCACTTAGTGATTGATTGCGTAACATTTACTTACTTGCTTACTTACTTCTCTACGCTTGTTACTCCTAATGGAGCATAGGCCATTAACCAGCAATCTCCAACTCACTCTATCCTAGACTTTACTTAATATTAGAATGTAATTTTTCACTGGAAAAACTTATTTAAGACATTTAAAGTTATTGTACTGAATGAGAACACAAGTGGAAAAAATTTGAACACAAAATTACAGAATACCATAGTAAAATTTGAGAACCATACAGTAATTATCTGTTCACTAGTGACTGACTTCAAGAGGCATTTCCTGGAGTTCTAATGAGAAGCCGTGACAAGTGGAGTTCAACCAGGTCTCTTGTGAGATATCAGCTCATTGAGGACAATGGTGTACAGTGACGCAATTTCGTGGATTAGTTGAAGTCAGACGTTAAAACCGTTGGATGCCAGCTCAGTGGTTTACAGTTCAAGCGTTCACCTATGTGATTGAAGGTCTTGGGTTCGAGTCACTTTGATGCGGGATCGTGGATGAGCACTGCTGAGGTGTCCTAGTCCCATACATACGCGCCACACAATAATAATGAGAATAGGAAGAGATAAAGAATGTAAGATGAGTATAAGAAAAAAAGAGAGAGAACAATAACGACCACAGGTTTGTGTATGGTACTGAAATAGTAATAGTAATGAGAGAAACAGAAAGGTACAACCGGAAAGAATTCCTTCAGTTAAAGAAGTTAAGGCCACATGGTGTTGCCACTGGATATCAGCAATCCTTCGGAGACAGCGATGATCAAACACAGAGAGTCGTCTAACATCCTCAACTCGGAGAGGCCAGGTTTCAAAAGCATAGAGCAAAACTGCTCTCATCGATGCGTTGTAGATCCGACCTTTTACAGCCAAACTAACATCAAGAAGGCGCCAAAGATGGCCCAGATTGGTATAAGCCGCTCTGGCTTTCACTTTACGTGCAGAATTTATCTCATCACTCACACCACCACCAGCACTTATGCAGCTACCTAGATACACGAACTTCTCGACTACTTCTATCTGCTCACTATCCAGGGTGAGTACAGGATTAGAATCCTGTCAGTCTTGTAGACGTACTTTGCACTTCGAAGGTGCAAAGTACATACCATACCTATAGATATTGATTGCCAACTGATTAAGTGCGGATTGCATGGCTTGGGCATTATCGTACAGTAAGACAATATCATCTGCATACTCAAGGTCGAGAAGCTTTTCTTCAGGCAACAGATCCACACCACCATCACTTACGCCCATCAGAGCTGTTCCCAGATTGTCATCGATGGCAAAGTTGAAGAGGAGTGGTGAGATTGGACAATCCTCACTCTATGGATAACGCAGTGGCATTTATAGAGAACGGTACTGGGTTCGACTCCCAGAGAGAGTATCAATTGCTTACTTGCTTACTAATCATATTACAGATGAAAAAAATTTTTAATGAAACCATTTAATTCATGAAATAAACTATCCGCCTCAGCAATAAATTTTCAGTTGAAAAGATCAAATGAACACCATGTAACCAGCAGTCCTGACCTTGAGATGGAATTTCGAAACCTGATTGGTTCATCTCATAACTCTAACTTGATAAATATGTTTATTGTGTAACATTTTATTTATACTACTACCAATAGATCTATTTATTCTGTTAAAAAAAATCGATATGAGATTGAACTTTACACATGGGTAAAGATTCATATATGAATATCATAAATGCAGATTAGGTAGTAATCACTTGTACACCCTATCATTTTTAGACTCATAACATTCATCAATATGTCAGTAGAATACATGACTATAAACACTAAAATTTACGACGTTCAACTAAGACATGATTGATACAAACTGAGTAGTAGATTCATAGTCATTAGACTGTAGTTCTTATAATCCCCGTCGCCACTGTTATAATGCTCTCTTAATACAACTCAGCTATTCCTATTGCTTAGTAATCTTGGACAATAATTCACTCGAAATGTCTCTAAATCAGAACACGGTTGAACAGGAAAGAGATTATATTCCAAATAACAAGACTAGATGGAAGTAAGAAGCACCATAAGATAAACGTTAGTGTATTTATTGCTTTTATATGAGAAGATTCTAGGGTGTTCTCCAAGTATCGATTAGCGCTGATTGGATAAGAACTAGCCAATCAGCGTGCGCCAAAGCAATCATCTATGGAGCATGCTTTAATCCAATCTATGTCCCGCTAACAATATTGTATGAACAGTAGAAAAAAATAAAATAAATATTAAACAATTAATCTATCAAAAGACAGTACTATAACTGACCATACACCAATTATTGATCGAATAGTTGTTAAAAAGACACAAAACGATTCAATAGATGAAATCATGAATCAATTGAAGCTAGACCACCATGGAAAACCTGGAAGCACTGGACGGCCGTTTCGTCCTAGTATGGGACTCCTCAGCAGTGCGCATCCACGATCCCGCACCCCGCGGGACTCGAACCTAGGACCTGTCAGTCTCGCGCCAGGCGCTTAATCAACTGGACCACTGAGCCGGCATCCAACGGTGTTAATGTCTAACTTCAACTATTCCACGAAGTTGCGCCACCGTCACCATTGTCTTCAGTGAGCTGATATCTCACAACAGACCTGGTTGAACAAAACGATTCATTGGGGAACTAATATAACTCATATTTCATTCAAGGCATTCTCTCACCTTTTTCCTCGATAGCAATAATAATCACCTATTCTAAGATAATTTATTTTTCGAGAATTATGAATGTTATGTGCTCACTAGTAATTAGTTCCAAAATGAAACTCCTAAAATTCTAGTGAGAAGCCGTGACCAGTGAAGTCCAATCTGTATGGGATGTAAAACAGTTAATTATCCTAGACAATGAAAGAAGAGCCGCCTAATATCATGTGTCAATTAAAGTTAAACATTAACACTATTGGATACTGGCTCAGTGGTTTTCAAACTAAGCATTCACGTGCAAAATCGAAGGTCTCGAGATTGGATCCCGAGTGTAGGATCGTGAATCAGTCTTACACGAGGATGAAACAACCATATATTGCTTCCAAGTTTTCAATGGTTATCTAGCTTAGATCCACTCGTGAATTAGTTCAACCGTACAGTATTAAGCTTTTTTTTCAGTTTTATTTTTAACTTACTAATCAGTGGTCTTGAGTGCTGTTAGAGGTATAAAGGCGGTTATCACTTTCTGGTTGCCCACACCGTGGAGACTCTTGATGACATAGCTCACAATCGATCACAATGACGTCGGTGTATACACTTTTTATCTTCTTTTTCTTCCCGTGCTATATTCTTATATTGCAATCTTTCTTTTATATATTAATACCATTGAAGTGACTATGACTTCTGTGAATATGGTCTTCATCTTGTTGTACTTATGAAGTGAGGTGACTTGAACCGATTCATATTTAAATATATACCTGATCGTACATTGTAACTAACTGATTGACTGTACCTACTAATCACTTTATTTCACTCTTTTTTTTTTACAGACGTTTACTTGAAATTCAAACACCAATTTGTACAATCTCCTCGACTAATTTAACCCAACAATCTAATGGTTATTCAACTATCAATGAAATTCATAATTCAATATCATCGAATCAATTGTCAAAATCACAATCATATAAATTAAGCAATTCAACTAAACATTTACGTAATTGTTGTTCTAGTTAAATAGAAAAACAAGAAGAACAAGAAGCAGATGGAGAAGGAGAACAATATAGATTGAATTGAATTTGCTTACTTTCATTTATATTAAATGTAAATGTAAATCACTATTATTATTATTATTATTATTATTATTATTATTATTATTATTATTATTATTATTATTATTATTATTATTACAATACATTTAGTATAATTCAGGATGTTTCATTGAATATAAGAGACTCCTATTTTTTTTCTCTCGGTTTATAAAAACAAATAAATAAAAAAAAAGAAAAAAAGAAAAGAAAAGAAAAAACAAACAAGCGAACAAACAGAAATTGTACGTGGAGAAGTAATTCAAAATTACCGGAAGTTTGTTCAATACGTTCAATGTTTTATTATTATTATTATTATTATTATTGTTGTTGTTGTTCTTGCTATTATTGTTCAATGTTTATTGTAATTGAATATTCGTTATTACGTCAATGTCACACACACACACACACATACACAGAGATAGCCACGCACACAGGGAGAGATACACACACACACACACACACACAAGCTATATATATATCTGTGCATTCCATAAGGAAATACATTCACTGAATGAAATTAGAGTTCATTATGCTAAAACTAAAGAGATTATATAATTATTTTTATGTTTCTTTTCTTTACTTTTCTTTTTTTTTTATTTAGGAAAAGTAAATTATAATACACTTTCTTTTTCTTTTTTTTTTTTGTATATGTAAAATCATATTAATACATAGCTGTGTGCTTAATGTATATTTTACATAAATGTAACTATTATGCAATAATATTGTTCTTTAGAAGCTTTATCAAATTTTATTTCAGTGTTTCATATGGGGGAAGGGGAAGATTGTATCTAATAATCCCGTGTGGGGGTTGGGCACTACTGATGAGTCCAATATTAGGACGAAACAGTTGTTCAGTGTTTTTTTTTTGTGGGTTTTTCATGGTGGTCTAACTTGAATTAACATATGAATTTAATTATGAAATTACTATAATCTTTACAAAACCCCCTTTGTGATAATTAACATAAGTTATTAATCAATTAACAATAACAAATTGTGCTATGAGTAGCATACTGATGATCAGTTTTTTTTTGTTGTTGATAGTTTTGATTTAGGTCGATTTATTTTATGAGTGATATTTTTAATGGTGTCATTATAGAGCTACTGTCTTACTTGCTTTTATTTATGCCTCTTATACTTCATGGAGAAGGTTAGATCATCAAACTACATTCTGCATGCAACTCTATCCTGGACAATTATTTCCAGTTGTTATTGATCCTTTTCATGTCTGATTCAAATTTCCTATGTGGTGTGTTCTTCGGTCTTCTTCTTTTTTCCTTACAGGATTCTAAGTTATGGCTTGCCTCGTGATTCAGTTTGATGATTTCCTTAATGTGTGTTTTAGCCATTTACAACGTTTATCGCTAATTACCTCTTCAGTTGGTAGTTGGTTTGGCCTCTCCCATAGTAGGTTGTTGCTGATGGTATCCCGTCAACGGATATTGAGTTTCTTGCTTTGACAACTGTTTAAAAATACTTGCACTTTTGATGATGGTTGTAGTAGTTCTCCAAGTTTCAGTTTCGTACAGTAGGACTGTCTTGACGTTTGTATTAGAGACTCTGACTTTGATGTTGGCTTGCAGACAGTTGTTTTGAGTTTCATATATTCATCAACTTTAGGAATACTGTCCTTGTTTGACCAATTCTTACCTTCATATCTTCATCAGATCTTCCTTGTTAATTGATGATTCTATCCAAGTACTTGAAACTTTCCGCATCTTCCAGAGCTTCTCCATCATGTATGGTTGGGTTGGTGTTATCTGTGTTGTATTTGAGGACCTTGCTTTGTTTTTTGTGTATGTTGAGGCCTACTGATGTAGAGGCTGCTGCTACACTAGTTGTCTTTAACTGAATTTGTTCATATGTGTATGGGATAGAGGGATCAGGTCACCTGCGAAGTCCAAATTTTCTAACTGATTCCGAGCTGTCCATTGTATTTGGTGCTTTTCCTCAGATGCCGAAGTCTTCATAATCCAGTCAACTACCAATAGAAAGAGAAATGGGTAGACAGCCTTGTATATCTCCAGTCCTCACTTGGAATGCAGCTGTCCTCCATGCACGACTTTGCATTGTAATCCGTTGTGAGTTACTGTCTTATTCATGGTTTATTCGTCTCCTCAGCAGTGGGTTTTCACGAACCAACCGTTCACTGCTTCAAGATTTTAAATAGTGATCTAGCTTATATTGACTTGTGAATTCAACTGTTAAACTACTACAGTCTTCACAAATTCCCATAGTGATATTATTTACATTTACTCATGGGTTTAGTTATAAATCAACATTCGTTTTAGTACTACTTTTAGCCAAAATATTCAACACTGAGCCTGAGATCAAGCCCAGAACATTCAAGCATCATAATGAGTGACTAATCATAAAACTACCTGGTTAGAATCTAACTATTTTATATTTCCTTCTTAAACCAATTAACTAGAACTGTCAAATCTCGTCAATTATTACTGTTACATTCCTGACAATATTGAACACCACCAGTCACTTATGATTAACTAGAAAAATTTCGGAGTAAACAATCTCATTTTAGACAGAAGTTTGGCTTATCGATGGATGCTTTCAAGTAAGAATGAACATTAGCTGAAAAAATGTGTAATTCAAAGTACATTTGTGATGTTTAATGAGATACATTCCACAATTGATGTTCACTCTAACACTCGAACTAAGTACTGTTTGCTACAATCGCCATCATGTTATCCATTTAGCTACTGAGTCCTATCGGCCACTTGCTTGTGTAATGGAGTGAAATTTAAATTCACTTAATATTGTTTAATTGAATCTTTACGTTGATGTTTAGAACTTCAATTGGTCAGTCTCTTATTATCGGCATATGTGCATCTTGTGCGGATTGTCTCGATATTGTCTTAATTCACAAGCATTCTAATCAAATATGGATATTGGCTAGCAGTAGAATCCAAGATGCGCATTTCGTCCTACTTGTCACTCGTCAGTTCGATGTACCTGCATCTTAGAGTTGATATTCACTCCCGGATCCGAACCCAGTACCGTTCACTTCAAACTCTATCGTGTTATCCACTTATTTACTGAGTACTGATTGCCATTAGCTTATACAATAAAATGAACATCAACTTTGAGATGCAAGTACAACCAACTGACCAATTACAAACAGGACCAAACGTTCGTCTTTAATTTCACTGCTGACCATTATTCATCTTATTCTGATTGCATTACCTAAATCCTCATATCTTTATTCTAATGAAAAGAATCATACTTACTTACTTACTTACGCCTGTTACTCACAACGGAGCATAGGCCGCCGACCAGCATTCTCCAACCCACTCTGTCCCGGGCCTTCTTTTATAGTTCCATCCAATTCTTGTTCATTTTTCTCATATCTATCTCCATTTCTCGGCGTAATGTATTCTTTGGTCTTCCTCTCCTCCTTCGACCTTGAGGATTCCATATGAGGGCTTTTCTTGTGACGCAGTTGGGTGCTTTCCTCAATGTGTGTTCTATCCACTTCCAGCGCTTCTTCCTGATTTCTTCCTCCACTGGGATCTGATTTGTTCTCTCCCATAGTAGTTTGTTGCTAATAGTGTCCGGCCAGCGGGTCTGAAGTATTTTGCATAGACAGCTGTTAATAAACACCTGTATCTTTTGGATGATGGATTTCGTAGTTCTCCAGGTTTCCGCCCCATACAGTAGAACTGTCTTCACATTTGTATTGAAAATTCTGACTTTGGTGTTGGTTGCCAATTGTTTTGAGTTCCAGATATTCTTCAGTCGTAAATATGGTTCTCTTGCTTTGTCAATCCGTGCCTTCACATCTGCATCGGATCCACCGTGTTCATCGATGATACTGCCCAAATATGTAAAGGTTTTTACAAAAAGAATCATATATATTACTTAATATAAACACATTATATTTGTATAAACAAAACCGTTATTTTTCAAGTATATCATAATAAATATTGTTTAAAAGGTATAAGACAAAAGAAAGAAAACGAAAGAAAATAAGACCAGAAAATAAAAACCATAGTAACCATATTTACCAAGTAGAAATTCTTTTGTGATTGATCAGTTATAATAATGAATGAATGAATGAATGAATGTTTAACATTTTAATGTAAAACAATCAGCTTTAAAATATATCCCTGTAAAATCTGTGAAACAGGTGCTAAATAAACAATACAAAAGAAAATTTTATCAGAAGGGGTTTTGTGGAGATTATAGTAATTTCAATGGGTAAGATCATGAGACAGTTGAAGCTAGACCATCATGGAAAACCTGGAAGCACTGGACGGCCGTTTCGTCCTATTGTGAGACTCATGATTTTAACCATTGAAATTACTATAATATCCACAAAATCCATATGATATTGATCAACATATGCTCACTACTGACTGGCTTCAAGAGGTATATCCTGGAGTTCTAGTGAGAAGTAGTGACCAGTGAAGTTCAACCGAGTCTGTTATGAGATAGTAACTCATTGAAGACAATAGTGAATGAGTCGCTCAATTTCATGGATTAGTTGAAGTTAGACATTAACACCGTTGGATGCCGAATAGCTCTGTAGTCTAGTGGTTAAGTGGTCACGTGCGAAACCAGTAGGTCCTGGGCTCGCAGGGAGCGAGGCCGTAGATGCTCACTGCTGAGGAGTCCCACAATAGGACGAAATGGCTGTCCAGAGCTTCCAGGTTTTCCATGGTGGTGGTCTATTTTCAACTGTCTCATGATCCTAACCATTGAAAAGAAAATTTATTTTTGAAGACACGAAACTATATATATTATAATGAGAAAAAAATAAGACTTTTTTTTCTGTATCCCCCTCACTTTTTAATGAAAAATGGGGGTGGTAATGAAAAATCAATTTTTCTGCATAGAGATTATTATTTTTTGTATAAAATTATTTTTTTTTTCAAAAAAAAAATCAATTTAATCAATTATTTACTGAATAGT